TGGGGATCAGACCCAGGGCCTTGCCAAGACAGTCTCGTTGTTACTGAGCAAAATCCCCGGCATCCCGCCAATTTTCTTTTTTTTAACTTGGGTGATCTGTTTCTGCCTCGAAACATTCTTTGAATTCTCAATCTGTTCCTCTGTCTTAAAACCAGATTTCTGCCCTTTACTTTATTGACTAAGCTAATTTAGGAGCTTCGTATCTTTTTTTTTCTTTTTATTGAGTTTATTGGTATAATCTAGGTATACAATACAGTTACATTCATTATTGGAATCCTGTGCCTTTACATGATTGGTCTTGATTATCATGTTTTCCCCTTGTCCCTCCCCTCCCTTCAAAGGAGCTTCGTATCTTTAAGTGATTTCAGATTGTCGAGGTTGGTGGGCTGAAGGGAGGCCCAGTCAGGCGAGGTTCCAAAAAAAAACATGCGTGGAGCAGACATCACAAAAAAGCAGGAATAAACTTTACTTTTCAGCACAGCACTTACAAGTTTTTTTTTTTTTTTTTTTTTTTTTATCAGTTTACTGAGACATAGTAGAACAGAACATTCTGGGTGACCTTACAGGCCATGTGATGCATGAATGGTTTTTCATGCTGATTCACTATTATACAAGAAATCACACTGAGGATTTAGCTCAGCGGCCCCACACCTGCCTGGCAAACACAAGGTCCTCAGTTCGATCCCCTGTACCAGAAAAGGGAGGGGGGATTCCCCATTGTGCTCCTGCTCTGATCAAACTCCTTCAGTTGTCTGGGCTTTGACACATCTCACAGCAGCCCCCTACATGGGTATGATGAACCTAGAAGAAAAGAAAAATAAAGAAACTTAGGGAACATGATATGGATAACTTTGGTTACCTAGATAACTTCATGTCCTGGAGTTGAGTCTTCTTAAAAGTACAGTGTTATGATTTTCCTTGCCTTTATTTCAACTCTTCTACCTTAGTAAGGGCCAACAACCTTTCTCTTCCCATCCCTATGGTGTTCCTATGTTCTGTGTCATACAGAGGTGCCTATAAGCCATTTTTCAGTATTTCCAAAGGCATGATAAAAAGAATACATTGGACTAAAATCTTTGTAAGTAAAGAAAACATCAAGTCCCTTTTTAAAAACTGGAACCATAAGAATAGCATGAGATATGGGGAAAACTGAGCAACTTAGCTTTGATTCAGTCACCACATCAGCCATTTCTGTGGGATGTGGATTTTTTTCACCAACTTTTTTTTTTTTTTGAGACAAGGTCTCACTATGTAGTTCAGGCTGACCATAAACTCACTATGTAGCCCAAGCTGGCCCAAACTCCAAGTGATCCTCCTGCCTCAGCCTCTCAAGTGCTGATATTACAGGCATACACTGCCCAGCTTCACCATTTTTATAGATGCAGAAATAGTCTACATGGGTTGTGGTCAAACTTGCATTTATGTAGTCTGTCTGACTCCATGGCCTTATTCCTTCTTTGACACCTTATTTCCTCATCCCTTCCTACAGCTTAGAGCTTGGGTTAGAGGTAGATATAAATTTGATTTTAAAATAACAAAATTCTAGGGCAAGGGATTTAGCTCAGTGGTTCAGTGGCCTGCCTTGCAAGCACAAGGACCCAAGTTCAATCGCCGGTACCAAAAACAAGAAAAATAAAAATAACAAAATACTTAACAGATGTTTGGAAGAAAAAATCTTTCAATGGAATAGGAGGAAATCAAAGATAATCTAGTGCTAAAATAACAGCTGAGTATCATTTTGGAACTCTTACGTAGTGTTATATAATTCCCTAATAAGCAGTTCTAGTTCAGGGGCTAAGAAAGAATGAACCCCACTGGTTAGTGACAGACATAAATAAGAATGATGTGAAAGGCGCCATGCAGGGAGACATTGTGCTGGGATACTTTGTTTCTATACTCTTGATTTGGGGTGAAAATGCATGTTTCTGTTAGAATGTTCAGCTTTTGCATTTATTTTTATTTATTTATTTCTACTGAGGATCAAACTCAGGTCCTCACATTTGCCAGGCAGGTGCTGTACCACTGAGCCATGTCCCTGGACCCTGCTTTTTTTTTTTTTTTTTTAGAGACACTGTTTTTACTGAGGTCAGGGTGCTAGGGACCCCTTCTATAGATACTTTCTAGGTTCTTCTTCTCCTGAATAAAGAATTGGACCAAAGGTAGCAAGGTTTTACATTCACTGGATGTGGGAAAAGAACTCTGCTCTGCAGAATGAATGTGGGCCCACTAAAATAGGGAAAACTGGGTGTTATGGCGCACACCTGTAATCCCAGCACTTGAGAGGCTGAGACAGGAGAATCGCCACAAGTTTGAGACCAGCATGGGCTACATAGTGAGTTCAAGGACAGCCTGAACTACATAAAGAGACCCTGTCTCAAAAAAAAAAAAAAAGAAATGAAAAAAAAAAAGGAAAGAAGCTCACTCTAGCACTCTATGAGCTAAGAGGGGACCACTGTGAAAGACAGCACTAGGGCCACAAGGTCAATGGCAGTGGACCTCCACTCCTCAGGCTGTTGCCAGATGTAGGCTGTCCTGTCAAAAACCTGCTTGAGTTCTCACTAGCAGACCTGAACACAGCACGCTCTGCTTAGACCCACGTGCAGAGCCTGGAGAACCGTTCTGTGCAGGTGTCCTGGAATTCTGTGATTGAAGGGTCACGCCCACTTGGCCCAGCCCTTTGGCCACGCCCTGATCTCCTGCCTCAGGGCCTCCCCTTGTAGTCCAAACTGGATTTGAATTTGCAGGAATCCTCCTGCCTCAGACTCCGAAGTGCTGAGATTACAGATGTGCAACACCACCGCCAGCAAGAACGTGCAGTTCTTTTATCCTATTATTTTAATTTTGTTTAAAATATACCTAAGCACCATAAGAGAGATTTGTATGTGCAAATTATCTTGAGAGTTCAGAAGAAAGTCAGGAGCAGCTTTGACTCTCTGGGCTTTACTGGGCTGAAGGTCAGAGCCCATGTGGGACTCTTCTTTACACCTCAGTTAGTTTTTGGCCCACTAGACATTAGGTGCTTGATATATCACTGTCACGGGTTGGGAGGGGTGAGCGAACTGTTTGTTCCTTAACAAGGCCCACTGAGGATCGTGAACAAACAGAAGGAAATCTATCTATTCTTTGGATAACTCCAACATCCATTCATGGAGTTCAGTTGCCAGCACCAGAAGAAAGAAAAAATGAGAGAAAGAGAGAGGAAGAGAAAGAATAATAAATCAGTAGTCTATCCACTGTCTGAACTATTTATTATTAATACACATTAAAATGTAAAAGGTATTTTTATGCATTGTTCAAGGTACAGATATAGAGACCCTTTTATCTATCTTAATTTATTAAGTCCTTACTTCTGCTAATCACAAAAATATTAAACTTTTCAATACCAGGTCTATGAATTACATTGAGAATTTAAGTGGTCAGCTTCAGATTTAAAATCATCTAATTCAAGATTCTCCCCATTACCCTTTTTTTAAGTGGCTTCCTATTCACCCTGTGGTAGGGAAGGGTCCACCCCAGACTGTGGTGATGGCTGCACCCATGGCATTCAGCATGGACAGATGAGGTCTGCAGCAGGTCCTAACTCATATTTTCTCACAGTACAGGAGAGGCGGAGCTGCAGGCCATGCCGGGAAGAGGGTGAAGGAGTAGGGGCACCGAGGCAGGCTTTGTAGTAACAGAAGGGTGTGGTTTCCCTGGTGCCTCAGGAGGGTTTGATTGGTTTCTTTCACTAATCCCGTGATCTGAAACCAAAGCCACTGCTTAGGAATAAGGAGGACATGCACTTGGTCCCCATGGTAAGGAACGTTATTGGAAAACAGGGACCTTATCCCGGGAACACACTGGGGAGGGGAACTTGTGGTTAGGCCAGATGTCAAGGCAACACGTAATATTTGACCTTAATTGTAGGCCTCACATCACATCCTTCTCCTTATTCATTCCTCTCAGAGGTACCCTCAGTTCTTGGAGTGCCTATAAATCATCCTGACATCAGGGAGAGGCAGCCACCTTACCCACTCTGCTGTGGGTTAGACTCTCTGGTGGACACCCACGCATGGGGCTCAGGCACTCCCAGGTCTTACTCCCCACACACGTTCTGAGGATGTCTTAGTCTCTGGGACCACCTCACTTCCTCCATGCTGACATCTCTCTCCCCGACTGCGAATCCCCTTCTCTGTGTGTGTGCTGTATGTCACACATGGACCACACTCACAGAGGATCCAGGCTGTAAGTCCCTTGCACTCTGGGATACCTTTCCCCTGGCTTATCCTTTGTCAGCACTTTTCTTAGGCATCCTTAGAATTAAGCTCTAGAAACAGTCTTTCCTTCCTTGCTAAACTCTTCCTTCCTTTGGGGCAGGAAAATCATCCTAATTTATGATGCATACCTCCTTCTCTCTTACTTATGGTATAAATTTCATGCTCCCCTTCAGGCTTTGCAGTTCTTGCTGTGCAAAGCTAAGTTTCATTTAAAACAAAACAAAAACCTTTCTCTCTCTAACTGCTGGCTCTTATATTTAATTCAAAATCTGGTTTTACACATCAGGAGGTATTGTCTCAGCTATTGGTTTTTAAATAAACGAGTGATAAGCTTTGTTCCAGAACTACAAGTTCTGTCCAATTCAAGCAGCCACATGTGGCTATTTCATTGCAATTAACCGGCATTTAAATGAAATGAAATTGAAGGTTCAATCCCGCAGATCACAGTAGTCACATTTCCAGTGTTCCGCAGTCAGAGGGGGCCAGCGGCTACTGTACTGGGGAGTACAGAGTGTTTCCAGCATTGCAGACGTTTACAGAACCGCGCTCATCCAGTCTGTCTACCTCCCTTCCCTGAGGGTTGTCAACAGTGGGAACGGAGGGCAGTGTGTGAAGGCGGGTGGCTCAAGGAGACGCTAAGGCACAGTGTTAGCTGGCCCCTGCAACCTGGAAGGAAGTTTTGAACTGGAGAAGTTTAAGTAACCACTTCAGATGAAATCCTCTCCCCACCCCTTGTTTCGGTAGAAAAAGGTTTTTGGCAGCTGGAAACGTTCCTGCCTACCAGTCTGTCACAGATGGCACGCACCGTGGGTTACCACCACTAAGCAACTCTCTCATGAAGAGCATTTTCGCTTCACAGCTCAGCCTGCCGCAACCACTGAATCCACGGAGCCTCCAGGCAAGTTTTAGAGCTGTTTTATACCTATCAAATGTGCTGTATATAGGCAGTTTTGTCACTGCTTCCATTTGCTTTACATTTTAGTCTCTACAATCCTCCGACTGCCTAGAGTAGGAAACACAGAGACTCCCAGTTAGCCACTAGTGTTGGACATGCACAATTAGAGGGAGTATTGGGTGACTTGCGGGGGTGGTAATCTTACTTTGGTGAGGATCTTATGCTGATGAGACTTTAGGTCCTGAGGATCTTATGTTAACCAAGGCAGTAAGGAGAGCAAGTTCTTAGAACAGTAGGTGGGATGAATTAAACTGATAAGGAATTTGACCCTCCCCAGGTGAAACCTTTCTCTTACTACTCTGTTCTCAAGGAACCAGGATGTCTCCAGCTGATGTATCCTTGCCCTTGAGTATGAGGGGACCATTGAGGTCTCAGCTGTGACTGCAGGCAAAGATGGAGTTATGTTCCCATATTCCACAGCTGGCTTGTGAGCGAGGTGACACTGAGCCTTGGACACTGCTAATCACACTTCCATTATGAGATGGTCTTTCCCCCAAATTATGTGGAATGGCTTCCGACAAATCTGCATACTTCAGTGCCCTTCAGTCTCGCCTGGTTCTATGTCACTCACATAGTGGAGCAGCTTGGGCTTTCCTGGCCTGCCGTGACTTCCAGTCAGGGCCTTGTCTGCAAATGTTTAACAGGCTGGTGGAGACAAGAGCTTATTTCCTCACAACTGGTGACAGGACAAACACTTGATCTTTTCCATTTAATAAATAATGATAGCAATTGTAATACATAACAGGCTGGCAGCTGAATTTTTAATAGCCCTGGTTACCATATGTGTTGTCAGATGGAATCCTGGCAGTTATTATTGATCCTAGGCAGCAACGACATTATGCACTTTCCAAAGGGTCAAGGTTTAGGAAAGCCAGAGACTGGGTTACTGGAGAGTCAAGGCAGCGCCAAGTCACAAATTACTTTCCTTATCTATTGCTGTAGAACAAATCATACCCCCACCTCTGGTTTAACAGGCTAAAACAATAAACATATTCTCTCAACATTGTTTCTGAGGATCTGGAAGCTGAGAGGAGCTTGGGCGGGTAGTTCAGGCTCAGAGTTTCTCACCAGGCTGCAGTCAAGATGTTGGTGCTGTAAACATCTCAGGACATAACTGGAGGAAAAGCCTCTTCCAAGCTCACCCATGTGACTGAAGGTAGACATCAGAATGTCTGCTTCCAAGTTATTCGTGGGGCCTCATCTACAGAGCTCTTCACAACATGGTGGCTTCCCCCAGAGCAAGCAATCCAAGAGAGAGAACCCAAGATGACAGCTCTAGACCTCATTACCAAATTCAGAAGTAATAATCTATCACATCTGCTATATTCTGCTCAGTAGAAGTGACTCACTAAGTCCAGTCACACTCAAGAGGAGGAACCAGATTTTTTTTTTTTTTTAAGACAGGCTCTCACTCTGCAGTTCAGGCTGGCCTCGAACTCACTACGTGGCCCAGGCTGGCCTCGAACTTGCAGCAATCCCCTGCCTCAGCCCTCCGAGTGTTGGAATTACAGGCATACACTATCACGTCAGGCTTAGCACCACCTCTTGACGGGAAGAGTATCAAAGAAGTTGTGAACATATTTGGAAAATAATTTCACAAGCTCAAAATTTTTACTTGAAAACTTCCCATTTAATGTTTGAAGATTATAAACATTTTAATAGGTGATACCAACACTGACCCCAAGCTACAAGGTAGTTCTTGTACCAGAAAACAGAAGTAGATCATGACTGCTGAACCTGCTCCTATTGCCTTTGGGTGTTACCGGGATTAGGTGGACTCAGGTGTCCTGGTTCCCTATTGCCAGAATCATTGCCATCTCTAGGAACTGATTGAAGCCAGAACCAGGTCTACATGTATAGAATAGGGTCACATAGGCAGGCCCTCTGCACCCAGGGCTGGATCCCTGATGTGGAGAAGACAGAGACACACGTGTAATAACTTGTGGCCTTGATCTTGAGTTGATATCTAGAAATGGGGCGCAAGGGCACGGAAGGACAACGTTTAATGTTCTCAGTATTGAGAACATTTAAGTAAGTTTTCTTTCGCTGATTATAAATATGCCCCCATGGTTTTATACTATTCTGAAACTTCTGAGCACTAGCGCTAACTAGTTATGCTGAAACCATCTGCTGAAAAAACAACTCTATAATAATCATTGTTCTGTCCTCTTCATTATCAGGGAGAGGCGGGCATGGCATCACTGAGCTAAATCCCCAGTCCATCAAGGAATACTTTTACATAATAAATCACCCAATAGTGGTTTGGGATACACACAGAGAAATCCTGTTCAAATACAGATGTCTTTAACTCAGGGAGACAGTATGGCATTATCGTGTCTATTATTTGGTCTTAGGCATCTGCACTGTTCCCCTGGAGAGCATTTCTGGCAGATGGGGGTCCATTTCCAGTTATAAGTAGCAGCCCTGACACCATTGAGTACAGCATGCAGGTAGGTATATCTCTCCACACTCTGGAGAAAGCACTGGATGCAGACTGCAGAGTAGGGTGTCATTAGGACACAGGTCAGAGCCTCATACTCCAGCCAGGAATGAGTAATTTATGAGATAATCCAGGTGTTTCATCATGAAGCTTTAAACGTGGTGCCACGAGGTGAGTCATGTTTTCTCACTATGGAAGAGTCGGGGTCTCCGCAGGCACTGGCCTTGTTCCTATGGAGTGGTGATCTAGGGGAGTGGCCATTCATCTCTAATCACCATCCTGGCCTCTTAGCCAAACTGCAGGCTGGCAGCTCTGGCGTGTGACTCTTCTGGCAGGAAGGGGGCTTTCTAAGCCAGGACTCATTAGGAGAGTCTCTGTTATTTTAGGTTTCATTGTTGACTTTTCTCAGTCCCTTCAAGCTGTTAGTTTCTTTTAATCACGATGTGTTTTCTACTGGCCATCCAAGTAAACACTGTTGCATTTCTGTTTTTTAAAATATATTAAAGTGTTAAGAACAACAGAAAAAGCAATCATAAGTTTGTTTCAAAATATGGAGGGAGGAATGGATGGGATGGTATTGCCCGTAAGTAGATAGTTGCTGGGGCTAGGTGATGGGAACTATTTTGTTTGTTTTTATATATATTAAAAATTCTCCATAAGAAGGTTTTTTATGGTAAAAATAAGAATTGTTTTAAAAAAGAAAACAACTATGGCCACACCACACAGAGACAACTGTGGTTTACCTTTGGGGAATTTTTTTCTACTCTTTTTCCTCAGCATACACCTGTTTATATTTGTACTTCTAAAGGAAAATTAATATTACACTATATATTCTCATACAGATCTGCTGTAAGGGCTGGGAAACTTGGTACCTCTGCATAGGACTGAAAGTCTGGTATGTTCAAGGAGGCCTTTAAGCTAGAAATGTTACTCTGGTTTTTACGGATTGTTCTAATACCTGAGAGGTGTCACTTATAAGTAGTTATTTTTTTCCCCAAAAAAAGCACATGTAAAGGATACATAAACATTTCAAAGCGGGAGAGTCTTTTCTGTTTTGTTTTTGCCTGTTTGTTCTTAGCTGTGCTTCTGTGGGCTGAGTGACAATGACCACAAGGTGGCTCATGGAGAGCTGCTAGGCTTGCCACTGCTAATGGAAGACGTACTTTCGAGCAGCCATCATACGATCGTGCAGGGTTCTCCCGAACAACAAGCCACAGTGGACAAAAATACACAGGTATTCTTGAACAGCCTACATAATTGGCCAGCCCTGTATTGTACTAATGCCCCTTCCTGTTTGGGAAATGGACTAGAAAGCCATAACTTTCCCATAACCTTTCCCAGTAGGCCCCAGGTAGTCTTTGAGAGCCACTTAAAGGTTTGTTTTTGGCTTTGGTTTTGGTTATTGTGGGGGGGGTGCTGGGTATTGAACTCAGGGACCTTACACTTGTGAGGCAGGCATGGCACCATTGAACTAAATCCTTGGCCCTTCGGATATTTTCTTTTGCAAACCCATGATCATATTTCCTCTTCTTACTCCAGCCCAGAGGTGGGAAAGCCCGAGGTCCAGGACAGGACCCACAGATGGGCACTTCAGGCTGAATCTTTGTCTTCATTCCTCAACTCTCTGTGGATGCTAGACTAGCACTCCCTTCCCTGGACTTACCCTCTGATGCTCTTAGGTACAAGAACCACTTGGCCATGTGGTACCACGAACAATTCTGCATGTATCTAGATCCAGCAGAGATATGTTTGGGCATCAGTTAAGCTAGCTAATGCCTCCTTTCAAAGAGCTCTCCCTTGGCAGAACCAAACTTTCTGAGATGCCTAAGCCGCTCATTCTGTTCCCCGACTTGTGTCCTCTTTCCCTTCTCAGCACCGAAAGCATTCCCAGCAAGAATGCCGGGTCCTGTGTGGTCCTGGTCACCGAGTCCCCTGGATATTTTTGCTCCTCTTCCTACCTGACCTCTTGGCAACCTTTAAGACAGAGTCCTTCCTACAGCCTGTCTGCCCTTGGCTTCTACAGCACAGCTCTGCCAGCTGTCCTCTGACATCACTACCCGCTCCTCTCCCGCCTCCTCTGCCGGGTCTTCACCCCTGCCAATCCCTAAAACAATGCAACTCAGGTTTTCTCCTCCTTCTTCTATGGTGGGAGGGCTACCTTTTGACTTTTACGGGCATGTTGGTGGGCCTTTTTCTCCTCTAAAAAAAAAAAGTAAAAGTTATATTTTATAACTATTAGTACAAAGAAAAATACATCAATGTCATATTTTAAAGCATTTTATTTAACCCAAAAGTCCATTTTTTTCTGACTTTAAAAGAAATTAAAATATTTTATAGACCTCAGGCACTGAGCCTCCTCTGCCTAAAGCTATAAATCAGTCCCAAATAGTTAGTGTCACTACTGGCTATGAGCTAAAGCCTGTTCAGAGCTTTATTAATTTAATTCCTTTGATTTTTCACTGTTTCCACGAGGTAAGTACTTTCATTTTCCTCATTTTACAGCTGAGATGTGCAAGGCTCAGAAAGGTTATGTAACATGGTCAAGGTCACATGGCTAATAAGAAAACCAGATGCCAGGGCAACAGCCTGGCCCTAGAGCTCCCTCGCATTCCTGTCCCTTCCTCACCCCCTCCCTAGGCCAACCCTTCTATTGTTCTAGCTTTGATAAGGTTTACAGGCATTGCCTCCAAAACCTGCACGACTAATCTCTCAGTCCTACCCGATTCACGTATTCTGCTGCGTCCTGGACATGTGCACTTCTTCCAGCTCAGAGACAAGGTCCCAGGCGGACCTTACTTCAGTCCTCTCAAATTTACTCTTCCTCCCATATCGTGCTCACAGCCAGACCCCAGGTTTTCCTACCCTGTTATTTTCACCTCTCCGGGCAGGTCTGCTTTCTCCATCCTCCTTCACCGCGCCCGCCCCCCCCAGGGCAGACATCAGCTCCCGATCCATCGTGGTGCTGTTCTCCTGACCACCACGGAGGGCTGCACGCTGCCTCCTTCCTGCTTCCAACCGTTTTTTTAAATGCAAACCTGATTTTGGTCCTACTCTCCTTAAACCTCCGCAGTGGCTTACAACACTCTAATAGAGTCCGCACACCTTATCCAGACTTTTGGCTCCTTCCTAGCAATATTTCTAGCTCACCCTCTTTCATCTGTCAAGTGTGCCCCGCTCCCCGCAGCACCTTCTCTCCCTCTCCACCTGATCACCTGATCACCTCCTACCTGTCCGTCAGGTTTCAACTTCCAAACCACTCTCAAGGAGACTTTCTGATCTTCCACCTTCAGGCTGCCGCTCCTCTGTGCCTTCTAGAGTTCCTGGCACAATAGCAACTTGTCCCGCCGCGAGCCACAGCCTCATCTCCAGGGGTCTAGGAGGAAGTGGTTCAGGCCGGTACAGCTGCTACCCCAAGGACTCAGAATGTTTCCTTGTCCTTGAAGATAAAAACAGAAGCAAAAGTGCTTTCTCCTTGAGGAGCACCAGCTTCTTATTAAGTGGAAAAATATTTTCTATAAGCTTCCCGATATATTTTCCTTGGGTCTTTTTTGGCTAAAACTGAGTCACAAGTCCACTTTAGGCCAATCAGTAGGGAAAAAGTAAGTTTATATGTGCCATTTAAATTCTTTAACACAAAAAGCCAGGTGTCGTGGCGCACGCCTATAATCCCAGCACTGGGGAGGCTGAGCCAGGAGAATCGCTGTGAGTTCAAGATCAGCCTGGGCTACATAGTGAGTTCCAGGTCAGTCTCAACTACATAGTGAGACCCTGTCTCAAAAAAAACAACAACAACAAAAATTCTTTAACACAAGTAGATTACAATCCCTTCCTGACATCCCTTACACTCCTCCACCTTACTTATCCTGTTTCCTGTCCCTTTCCCATCCTTTACAGCATTTAGGTAAAGGAAACTTCTCTTAAGATGAACATATTATTGTTTCTTTTGATTAGTTTTGTTTTCTGATATATTTTTATTTAGGAGGATTTATTCATAGAGAATAAGTGGCACTGGAATTTATACTGCCCTGTGAGCCGAGACCCCTACATTCCAGCCCTGATAGAGTTCTATATGATCTTTTTCTGTGTATGTCTGCAAAACTCCAAAGTAAAGAAAATGGATTGGCTCAGGGTCTTTAAAAATGTGGCTCAAGGAACCCTAGGGACTTTTTTTTGGAACCCTTGGAAACACCTTGGGACTTTTTTATTCCCCCCAGACAGGCTCTCACTATGCAGTTCAGACAGGCCTTGAACCCACCATGTAGTACAGACTGGCCTCAAACTCCCAGCGATCTTCCTGCCTCAGCCTCTGGAGTATTGGAATTACTGGCATGTCCCACCACTCCTGGCCCTTGGGGCTTTTTGATCACAGGGAGCCAATTAACTGGCCTCCAGGCTGGCTCTCCATATCACTGTTCTTAGCCTTGGTCTGTTGCCTATTTTGGGCCCAGGCCTAAGATTTTAGTGGACAGGAGGGTTCCGAGGGGAAAACAGAACCTGGAAATCCTCAGGCTGGCTGGTTAGTGAGGAGGCCCAGTATCGGGGGTTGTCAGCTGTCTGCACTGTCGCAACTTTCTTGGACACTGACCGACCCTCCTTCTGGCACACGCACCTTCCTTCACGCGTGTGAACAGCACTGACCGAGGGTCCAGTTACACGAGGCTGTTCTCTAGCTAGGGAACTGGGTTATCTAAGGTACTGTCACCTGAATGTCCTCTGACTCAAATCACTGGAATTCACCACGTGGTCTGCTAAGGAAGCTTCCGTGACTGAGACCCTATGACGAGGCTGAGGGCCTGGACTCCAGTCCATGGTTTGTCTCTTGCTCTCTGGGTCACCCTGGCCCTCACATTGCTGGCTGCAGGAGAGTAGGCCCTGAAACCTTCTTCCCTGTTCATCCTCAGGGACTCACAGCAGCCCTTGGACAAATGCTTATTTCAGGGAAGCATCACTAAGCGTGATGTTACACACCTGTAACCCCAGCTACTCGGGAGGCTGAGGTAGGAGGGTTGCAAATTTAAGACCAGCCTGGGCAACTTAGTGAGACCTGGGCTGAAAATAAAATTTTTAAAGGAGGAGGGGCTGGGGTGTACCTCAGTGCTCCCTGACTTCAGTCCCTAGTAGCACACACACACACAAAAGAAGAAATCATAATTTTAAAGTACAATTGCCTATTGAACAATAAATTCAAATGAAAAGAAATGTCTTCCGCATTTTTCTGGTGTGTGTTTGCTTGTTTTTTGAGACTGGGTCTCACTGTGTAATTCAGACTAACTGTGAATCACTACGTAGCCCAGTCTGGCCTTGAACTTGCTGCACTTCTGCCTTGGCCTCCCAAGTGCTGGGATCGCAGATGTGGGCGGTCACTCTCAGCTATCTGCTTTATTTTTAAAGGGTGGGAGAAGGAATAAAAAGTAGGATAAACACTAATTTCCATTTCCTCAATTATGAAGTCAGTAAAATCCCCAGTGAAAAGTGGGTAAAAGCCCCACCACGGAGGTGGAGGGAATTTAAGTTTCAAGTGTTCACTTTGCGGAATGCAGAGGCTAAACACGAAAGGCTCAGTTTTTTAATGACAGAAAATACTGGTAGGCAGGACAGGGGGTTTTCAGCCAGTGAGTCCAGACCCAACCAGCAAACCCAGACTGAGCCGTGTCCGTCCCTTCTATGCACCACCTGCTCGGGAAGGGTGCTTACCTCTGCACTACGTGTACTGCCGGCCCAAAACTACTCCTCTAGGGGAGCGAGTCGCTCTCCAGAACCTGTGCTTTGCATGGACTGTGTATAAGAAGTTATCCTATGTTGGACGCTGGTGGATAAAGCCAGGATGTCTGCAATGCTTTCAGCCAGATGGCTTCAAAGGACCGGGACCTGGCAGTCAGTTCCAAAGCAGCCCAGGGGCGCCCGAACCTCGGTGCGACACAGTGGCATCCCTTGCTCTGCTGAGACACTTTCTGAATCTGTGGAAGCAGCTGGAAATGCTAAAGGAGCACTGGGGCCGACTCAAGCTGCCGGGCCAGGACATGGACGCGGGCTGCCGCCACAGACAGTTCTCCCAGCTGTACACGTGAGTGCCGCAGAGGCAGGACCGGGCCAGGAGGAGAGCTGGGCCTTGGCCCCATCCCAGGGGAACTGAGGTCCAGCGAGCCCTGTACCGCAGAGCTGTGGGGGACAGAGCTGATTCCTCTTCACTACACAGTATTTTTTTAATATATATTTTTAATTTTACTTCCCACTAGTCATTTTTGCAGTCTCAGGAATTGGTGATAAATATATTTAGTTCTTCAGTTTCAGCAATAACTTGGGGGGGGGGGCACACACCCTGAAATCCCAGCACTGAGGAGGCTGCAGCTGGAGGGATCGTAATAGCAAGGCAAGAAAGTGTTTGAATGGGGAGGGGAAAAGGAAGGAAGGGTCAAGAAAGTGAAAATAGAAGGAAAAAATGAAATGAAGCTTTTGTACCTAGGGATGGGAGTGGGCTTGATGGGCGGAATGGCATAAAACAAAATAGAATTCATTTTTTAAAAAATAGAACAAGGAAGCCAAGTGTGGTGGTGCACACCTGTAATCCCAGCACTCGGGAGGCTGAGGCAGGAGGATCGCTGGGAGTTCGAGACCAGCCTGGGCTACATAGTGAGTTCGAGGTCAGACTCAACTACGTAGTGAGACCCTGTCTCAAAAAACCAAAAAAAAAAAAAAAAAAGAACAAGGTCATCCTGGGCTAGGTAGAGTTCCAGGCCAGCCTGTGACCCTGTCTCAAAGAAGAAAAACAGCAGTGTAGGGAAATGTTAATTTCACAACATTTCTGTAAGCTTTCTCCTGTGTGTTCATGGATTTACTCAGTGCATCTTTTCCCTGTCTGTTCTCAGGAACTTGTGCTTTACCAAGCCACCCCTGGGCGCTGACTCAGCTTTCTAGTTCACCAGGTCCCAGCAAGCCTGAGGGGAAGGCTGTGGCCTTGCCGTTCTCCGGCTCAGTCTCTGAGTACGGCAGACTTTGAAGCCCAAATATAGCAGGGCCGTGAGGCCTTAGGTCTGAGAGGCCGTGCAGACCTTGGCTATAGGCTTGGCTGGGAGGACTTAGCCAGCAGGAAGTGCCCACGGCTTCCGTTAGTTCCTTCCTGAGCACCCACCCACCTCCTGGGACCTTACCGGATTCAGAAGATGCACTTTTCTGCTGTCAGGATCGTCTGTCTGGTGACCTTATTACAAAGTTCCTGGTAACTAGGGAATGAGAAGACTGGTCAATATTTTGAAGACTAGAGTCTAAAATTATAGGTACCCAACAGGAAAAGGCCTCAGGATTTAATATTGACTAAGGGAGTGGTGAATTTAGATGTAGGTTGGGAAGTTTGTACATGACGATAAGCCAGTAGGAAATGATTAAAAGAACTACCAGGGAATCAGAATGAGAAAAAATATGGTGTTTGCTCATTTCTATCTCTCTTCTTTGTAGAACTGACATTCTCTACCCCAGCATGAAAGCTCTAGCAAGGCAGATGGGCAAAGAAGATGAATTTGAAGGACTTATCATAGTCAGTCAGACTGTTCTTCCTCCAAAAGGAGCTTCAGAAATTGAAATAAAAACTCAGCAGGTATGCAGGAGCCTTGTACATTTTTTTGGAAAACTTGCTTTCTGGTAGAATTAGGATTAAAACTACAGATACAGGGCCGGGGATTTAGCTCAGTGGTTCCACCACCTGCCTCACAAGGACCCAGGTTCGATCCCCGGTACCAAAAAAACAAAACAAACAAACAAACAAAAAAAAACAACAGATACATACAAATGGTGGTTTTTTAAAAAGAAGTTCAGTGTAAACTGAGGGAGGGTTGTAATAAGGCTGAGAAATTTGCTGGGGAACAGTGAGAGAGTACGTAGTTAAAGGTATGTGGGGTCTTTGATTAAGCAAAAAATTAGCCCTTAAATGTCTCAGTCCTATACATCTAGTTTTTCATTACTTTGATTTTCCTGAATTTAAGGGGCACCTGCAGGAAGAGGATAGAAAACTCTTCACGAAGCTATGTAGCTCAGGCTGACCTTGAAGTCACATGTGGTCCAGGCTGGCCTCAAAGTCGCACCATCCTCCTGCTTCAGCCTTGGAATGCTGGGAACACTACTGTCTTAAACATAAAATCCAGCTTACAAGTATCCACATGGAAATGAAATATTGCATATGGCTCCAGTAAATATTCTTCTGAAAATAAGAAAATTCAATTCATGCACTAGGCTATTTGATGTGGAGAGGCCATGTTTTCCAAGTCTTGGCTCAGCTTGCTCTTGGGACCAGGCTCCCTGTGGCTGGGGTTATTAGACAGGCAAGGAAAGATTCTGTGATGCCCCCCGTGCAGGCGACATTCAAGCCCTCAAACAGGCCCCAGGGTCATAGCCAAGACCATCGCATACCTTGCCGAACTCGGCCTCTTCTCCGAACCAGGGAAAAAGCGGTAGCTCTGCACACACCCCAGAGCGAGGGGAGCAGAGTGTCTCTTGGTCCTTCAGAGGCCCCAGAGACGTAGTGTCACTGTGAGGCTTGAAGCACTTTGCAGTTTGGCAGAATCTGGTACAAAGGGTTATATATTTTCCCCATCGGGCCGGGGAGAAATGCTGTTGGTCGCCAAAAAGATGAGTCTAACCCCCAGAAGCAGTTAGGAGCCCAAGAAAGCCCCTTCTTCCTGGGGAAAAAAATAGCAGAGGAATAGGATTAGGCATGGGAGCCCAAAGTGTAAGCTAAATGTGCCAATGACATTGAACTGTCCTTATTGTAGCTCCAGAAACTTCTGGAAAATATTGAAATTCATATGATCCAGGAGGCATTAAGAAAAGTCCATAGAGAGAAGACACTGGTTTTAGCAGAAAAGTCCAAGGAGGAAAATACTCTCCCAACAGGTAAGGCATGCTTATTTTATTACTTCACCAAAAAACATTTACTGTTCTTTCTTATTGTAAAAGCAACTCATGTGTTCACATTAATTGTAAAAGCAAAATAAACACTGAGCCTCTGGCCTTTGTCCTGTGCTCCATGCCCAGTCCTCTTCTGTTTTTTTGTTTGTTTGTTTTTTGTTTTTGTTTTTGTTTTTGTTTTGAGATGCTCTCACTGTGTCGCTGAGTGCCCAGGCTAGGTTCAAATCTGTGATCCTCCTGCCTCGGCCTTACAGAATGTTGGAATTGCAGGTGTGTACTACCACTTAAAAAGATTTTAAATAGAAGACATCCTTTAACTTCAGTCTCAACTGTCAATTAACTCATAACTGAAACAAAGTTGGAATGAAGGACACATATGAAGTCTTTCTTAGGTGTAATATATATGACATACAGGTGTGATCAAAACATAGTGTTTACATTTTTTTAAAGGTCTTACAGTAAAAGACACATTATTGTGAAGCCCTCAGAATACTCTCCCTTGTTTTGAATAGACTGATACCAGCCTTCTTACCGCTTTATGGAGCAGTTTTGTAGTTTTCTTTTTTCTTTCTTTCTTTTTTTTTTTTTTTGGTACTAGAAATTGAACTTGGGACCTTGAACTTCTGAGGCAGGGAGCAGAGCCACTAAGCTAAATCCCCAGGCTTCTGGAGCAGTTTTTGAATTCCTTTCTTGTGTCTTTTGTTGCACTATTGTGGCTGCATCGATGTCCTGAGTTATCCAAAACTTACCTTTCATGATCATTTTGACTTTGAGAACGAGTCAGAAGTCACACAGCGCCAGATCCGGCGAGTAAGGTAGATGAGAACCTGCTTTAGTCACCATTTTTATCATGTCTTTATGAGCCTGCCTTTCTGTTGCATGGCACTGAGCAGCGGCATTCACCGTATTTTTGGCCACATCTCTCACAGACATTCATGAGATAGGACTTTGAGAACTGCTTCAGAACGTGGTGAGGACAGTGGGGTATGTGAGTTGGAAGGCAGGGGAAATATTTTTAGGGGGATTAATGGCAATGTCTTCTACTGTAATAACTTTTTAAAACTGTAAACATTCACTAGTTTTTTGTCACTTGTCTGTAAAAATCTTAGAGACATATATACATACAAATTTATGCTTATATATATATTGTGGGAAAGCAATCAGCATTGTTTCCTTTCCTCTGAGGTCTAAACCCAGGGCCCCTTCACAGGCCCATGACCAGAGAACTTCCACAGATGCAGAGAGGCACATGGGCCACCATCTTGAAACTCATTCCCTGGGGCTGAGACTGTTTTGAAAGAGGAAGCCCAGAGAGCGGCGGAGCGTGCCCTGAGAGTGTGAAGCCTTGGCTCTCCACCTCCAGCTACCTCCCTGCTCCTCTGGGAGGGATTCTCAGTGCCCACTCTCCTGCTCTTGACATCACTAACCTTCCCCTGCCCACTCCCACCCGGAAATTACTGCCGCCCTGCGTCTCCCGTGGGGCCCTGGGCGCGGATGGCTCGGGGTTGGGCATTTGTACCTGGCAGCATCTCGGGAGCCCCAGGTCGGCAGACACAATGAGGGTGATCCTCTCCCGCCCCTGCGTACCTAAACGATCCCAGGTCAGGGGCTGCAGTACCTTGGGCATTGCCTGTGCTTAGTGGGTGGGGCTGCGTGAGAAGAGAAGACGCTGGCCAGGCACAGTGGCTCAGTCTGACAGCTCTGTGTCCTGTTCATTCAGGCACTGAGTCACGGGCAGGGCCCCAGGCATTAATCAGGGTCCCCCTTGCCCTGTGAGTATTTATATAGCTAAGGGAGTGCAAGATGAAAACAGATAAAAACACCAGGACAGGCCCAGAAAGCTTGCAGAAGAAAGGAAAAAGCTTTATGTTTTAATACTTGTAAAAGTACCTTTTCCCTACCTTTTTGAAGGAAAGGCCCTGCATTTTACTGCACAAGGTCCTATAGATCATATCGTTGTCCTATCTGAATTACAAATATCTATTCCTGGCACCTCAAATTCTAGAGGAAAATTCATCTCTTTTGAAGTAGGGAGGAGTTGTCTGACTGGCAAAACCCACTAGGTCTTCATTTTGAGACAAAGTCCATGGACACTGTGATGTTACTGACAACCTCAGTTCTCACCAAAGACGTTGTCTTTTTGTTTTTCCCACCACCAGATAGAGACATTGTCACTTTATCAGGGCTTCGAGTGATTAAATTCGGTAACAGGGCTCTGGGAAAAGACTGTGCCTTAAGAGGGCAAACCACACCCCCTAAGGTGGGCATTTCTCAATGTCACCAGCGGGCTGGGCGCCCTGGAGCTCCACTTATGAAATACTTGGAACACTTCCCAAGGCACAAAGCTCTGTTGTCTGTGCTCTGCTGCACTGGGTGGCTCAGGGTTCTTGGAGAAAATCCACAAGCACAGGGCAGATGCGACCCTCTGCACATTCCCTGGGTGGGCAGGGCACATTTGCCTGGTGGTTGTGTCACCCTGTTCTCTGCACATGGTGCCTGTCAGCTGTGCTCGAAAAGGGGCTTCCACCAGGGCCCAGTGGGGAAAGGTAGGGTTATGTTCAACAGTGGTCAGTTTAACATAACTAAACTTGGCCTTGGCTGGAGTAGACTACTCCTGATCCTTGTTTGGATTCTAAACTTATAAGACTCCCCACCACCACCATTAAGTTTATTGCTACATTTAAAGCAAACAGCACAGTTACATTCATCATTGGGATCTTGCACCTTTACATGATACATCTTGGTTCTTATTTTTTCCCCATTCCCCTGTCCTCCCTTTACCCGCTTCACCCTTCCCTCTTTACAAAGACTTTGTTTCCACTGTGTTTTCTCACATTTTTTCTTTTCCCTTATTTCCTTTCCCCTCCCCTTTCCACTTCCCCTTTAGCCATTTTCTTTCTATTTCACACTCAATTATACCATTTGAACCTTATTTCCACTTTTAGTTTTTCACACCAGAGAAATTATTCAGTATTTACTCAAGTGTGTCCTATTTATTTCACTTAAGAGTATAACCTTGGCTGGGGATTTAGCTCAGTGGTTCTGCCACCTGCTTTGCAAGGGCAAGATCCCAAGTTTGATCCCCGGTAAAAAAAAAAAAAAAAAAAGTATGGCCTCAATATGCCTCCATTTAGCTATAAATATCTCTAGTTTCTAATTCTTTATGGCGGAGTAGTACTCCATTTAATATAAAAACCATGTCTTGTTTATCCAGTCTCCAGCTGATGGGCATTTGGGTTGTTTCCAAGTTTTAGCTACTGCAAACTGTGCACTATAAACATGGGTGCGCACATATCGCTGTGATATGATTCATTTAATTCCTTTGGAAAGATACCCAGCAGGGGATGGCTAGGTCAAATGGACCCTCTAATCCTAGTTGTTTGAGGTATCTCCATATTGATTTCCACAGTAGTTGCACCAGTCTGCACTCCCACCAACAATGGAGAAGGGTTCCCTTCTCCCCACAACCCCTCCAGCATTTGTTATTGGTTGATTTCTTGATAGCAGCCATTCTTTCTGGGGTGAGGTGGAATCTCAGTGTTGTTTTCATCTCCATCTCTCTAATGATCAGTGATGTTGAACATTTTTTCATGTTTATTTGCTGCTTTAACTTCTTTGTCTCAGAACTGTTTGTCCATTTCAGATGTCCATTTTTGAATTGGGTCTTTGTTATTTGGGGGCGGGTCTTATTTTTTCTTATATATTCTAGATAGTAGTCCTTTGTCTGAGGAATAGCTGGTAAAATTTTTTTCCCATAATGTAGGTTGTCTCTGACTTCTCTTGCACAGCAAAAACTTTTTTTTTTAGATAACTCTGAGAACTTTATTTAGCAAAGAATCCCTCAAATGATTGTAACCCAACTGTGTATGTTCTCTTTCAGTGTATTTCACACATATAATATACTAGGAACTTAGAATACTTCCCAAGCCACCTCTCTTCCTTTATTTTTAACTAAAGTTTATAAGATATAGCCAGAGCACTGTTTCAGAAACCTGTCTCCAAGAACACATCAGCAGTGGAAGATGGGAGGTGGCCTCTCATCCTACCTCCCAAGGCTTTTTTTTTTATATTTTTTATATTTATGCTAATTTTTGCCTTTTCTTCCTGGCTCAGCTTGAGTCTTTGAGTCCAGTACTCTAACGCTTCCCTTAGCAAGAAGGACCCAGTGAGGGGAGTCACAAGTCTGCAGTCATCACTGCTCCCAGTAACCAACGCATGGCTCTTTCCCAGCCTCAGAAAGGTCACGGCCTAGAAGTCTGTGTTGTGACTGGCACGGGTGTGGTGGTGGGGCCTGAGGTAGCAGAGCCTAACAGCGGGGTTCTGGGAAGACGCAAGAGGGGTCAGAGTGGGCAACGTGGGAAGGGGAAGTATTTGTCTTTCTCTGGCCCCAAGGTGAAAAGGGATTTGGTCCACAGCTAGCCAGACAGTAATAAAGTGTGGAATAAAGGAAGGACTGCATGTATCTCTTTATCACAGACTTCTCTCCAGGAAGCAACTCCTGTGCCAGATCAGCAAAGCAGGTGGCTGAGCCAGCTGAAGCCCAGGCTTCAGAGAAAGTAGTCGTCTTCGAGGTTTTCATCACCAGACATAGAGGCAGCTTCTGATAAGCTGAGGCAGGACAGGGTATGTGCTATCTCTCCAGGGCTCTTTTGGGGCTCAGTCAGCATGCTGACGAGAGAAGCACCTGTTTCTGTGGCCGTGTCCTTCAGCATGCCTGGGACAGCTCCGTTTTCTTCCGTGTCTTCCGGAAGCTCAATTGCATACCCTTTTCGAAGTAATTCTAGCCCAATATCCAGCTTCTGCCCATTGCTGGTATCATGTAAGTAGATCTTTGGTCAAATGGAGATCCCAGTCTGGACGTAGCTAGAGATCCTGGCCACCAGTGGCTTCCATTCGGTGCAGTAGGTGAGTCTGTCAAACTCATCCAGAGCTTCCTCTTCCCACTGCTCACATTCTATTGCTTGAAATGGAAGGCTGAGGAAGTC